CTTTACACTCTAAAAACAATGACATTTACTGCTTGGACAACTTTCCAGCTTCTGTCCCAAAAAAATTAAAATCTAAATCTAAAATCTAAATATTATTTTAGTTCAAGAAAAGAAGAAAAAAAATCCAATGGAGCTAGATCAAAACCTGTCACATTTCATTTAGGCACCGAGAATCAATGTATTATAACAGGTTTAATGGTTTGAAGTTTGGCGAAATATTTCGTCGTTTGCTCTGATTTCAGGAAATGTATGTTTGTGAGGGTGCAAAAACCCGATTAAAGAAAATATAGCACAGCTCAATGGGTCACGAACGCATACTGAGAAAAACCTGTCAAAGCTCTTGAAGATCAGAAATGTTTACTTGAGTTTCCTCTTGAGTCCCACTTCATCTGACCCTTCAGGAGAAGTCTACATCCAGTCGTCATCCTATCAACAACGTGGTGAAAAGTTGCTCTGAAAGTCGGTGTATTGTAATTGCAAACATCCCAGGACAGTAAATAATCTCACTTTTCCCCCTCGTCTCTGCCTTTACGTCCAGTTAGAGGTCAGACGGAGCCAAAGAGCATCAGTGTGAGACATCATCTCACAGCTGGTGCACAGATGGCTGGAGCTGATACACACTGGCATGACACTCTCTCATCCGCACTGTGTATACGTCGAGAAAGAAGGGGCCAGAGCCAAGGCAGCTGCTAACTGCAGTGTCTGTTGTTGTAGAAATGTCTGTTTTTGCCCTGATTATCATCAAACACTGGGCTCCACACTAAACCGGTGCAATGTTAATGTTGATACAAAGACAAACTGCAAACACAGAGGTGGTAATGTGTTTCTAACCACATGGCCCTGTGTCATTTGTTCACGTGAGGATTTATGGATGAGTTTTATGAGGAATAAAAATGAGAATTTAAAGTAGCCGTGACATGCTAGTGGGGGAAGTACATATAAACAAACCAAAAAAAAAGAGGAAAGATACAAAGAGCGGGACAGCTAGCAGATCAGTTAGGTTAGCTCAAATCAACTACAAATAAGTAGCTAGTAACAAAATAGCCAAAGCAGTAGTTGTAGTAGTAATAGTAGTAGTAGTAGTAGTAGTAGTAGTAATAGTAGTAGTAGTAGTAGTAGTAGTAGTGCAATATAACTTTAAAAAAGTGAACAATCTGAGTTAGCTTGTGTATGTGTAAACATAAGTGTAGGCAAAGCAAATGCTAAATCAAGCAAAGAGAATATATAAGAAACTTATAGAAATATTCCAGAGCAAAGAGAATATATAAGAAACTTATAAATATTCTAATTAGCTGCAGAGTCTTCAACAATTAACAAAATCATACGTATACAATAAAAATATGTTTTAAATTGTCAAGAAGCAAGCCACAAGATAGCCAAACATTAGCTAATAAATGAGCCAAAAGTACAGCTTTATGATAGCTGAAAGAAAAGTAAAGCCATCCCAACAAAGTCAAAGTGAGCAAAAAAATTAAAAAAAAAAAGTTAGCCTAGAAAGTGGACAACATAATTAACAAATAGCTCTGAAGAAATTGCTCCCAAAAAAGAAAAAAAAAGCCAATTTACGAGTTTAAATTAGCCAAATATATGTGGAGTGTAGGCAAAATATCATTCCAGTTAGCTTGAACTAGCTTTAGCTAACTACAGCAAAGGTGAACAACAAGAAAGCTAAAAGCAACAAAGGCTAATAATGATCCAAAACATAGATAAAAGTCATCTAAAAGAAGTTAAAAGTTTGTCAAAAAAATATACCCAATAACCTTCCTTGTATTTTGAATAAAGGTTTTTACTATTTTTTGCAGTTTTGAAATGAGTCAAAGTCTGTGCTAAAACACATAGCACGTTGTTTAAGACATGATGCATCTTTATCTTATAACTCTTAAAACTTACTGCTAAACTTAAACCTATATTTCAAAGTTGTTTTGTTTTGTTCTTAATCAATTAAATAAAACGGCGTTTTGTTATTGACTGAACACTAATTGCATCATTGGGAGTTCTTTTTCTAACCCTGGAAACACCAACCATTCTAACGCAACACACTGATGAACAATTAGTCTCACTGCTGCTACACCTGCACAAACACTTCACTCATGTGTCAGAGAATAAACCAGGCCTGAAAGTGACTCATGCTGCAGTATTCCCCCGGCGTTTCAATCACTAAAACGTATCCCCTGCACCATAGTTTTAAACGGTATCTCTGTTTCGGAAGACATTTTTTCATTACTTTTTTAAAAACAGAACCTAATATTCGGAAGACATTTTTTCATTACTTTTTTTTAAAAAACAGAACCTAATAAAAACAAGGTGAATATGGTTTGGATGTTTTTGACTTTTTGGTCCATGTATCCTTAATATGTTTGAAGATAATTTTGACATCAAAAATATTTTGATTTTCATCCTAAGGTTTAGAAAAGGTAGTGTGCCAAATGATCTGTGTGCTAATTTTTAGCGATCTTCTTGGCTCCATTTCAATGATTTCATTTCAATTATTTTTCACAAATTTTGCAAATTATATAATTCGTTATTGGGGTTTTTTTTTATTATTAAATACGCCAGTTTTGGAAAAGAATCCTGTTTTTTTTTTGCTTAGCTTTAGCTTTTTGGGTTAATTCATTTCTGTCAGACTTTCATCTTTAGCCTCTGTTAGCTTTTAATTTCTGGTTTGTAGCTATATCTATATATATGTTTTCTTTTACTTACATTGTATTTGAATATTTCTCTAATAAACCAAGTTTACCCTGACTTCTTTTCGAGTTTGTTTTGTTTGACGAATATCTTTTTATATTCTTTGTATATTATATAATGACTTTGTTAATTCATTAGCATTGCAATCTGTGAGCGTAAAAAGTGCGCCAGTCATTTCATCAATCAGAATTTAAGGCTCAACCCTTTGTTTATTGTAACATTACCGTAATTTAGAGACTATAAGCCGCTACTTTTTTCATTTTAATGGCTGTGTACATGTATATGTATGGGGCGCGAGAAAGAGAACGTTAGCGAAAGTTGAGCTCAGTTTGGGCCCTGTCATGTTGAAGCGTGAGTTGGTTATACAGGAGCTGTTAAAACTCTGTTTATGTTCTGTTGTGGTCGGTGCGGCTGATAATAAAGACCCCAACTTCACTGTTTCTGTTTACCTGCGGACAAGCACAAAGTGAAGGGAGTTAGCCCCAGAGCTAATGTTAGCTTTAACATTTATGTTACGCTTGTTGTAACAAATAGATTGCAAACTGAGATGCGTGCCGTGTTTTTAGAATTGTGGAAGACTGTGTTGTTATTCAAGAAACAAATCCTTCACGAGATGGCGCCTGCCGCCGCTGCCTCCTCCTGGATCCTTCCCCTCGGTCTCCGAGCGAAACCTTTTTTTTGGGCCCCGTTCACATAATGCTCAGCGCTCACCTCGTTCAATTTCCTCCTTCCTTCCTGTCTCTAATGAAAACATAAGCTCACAGTTTGTGTCCTGTCCTGGAGCTGCACTGGCGGCAGTAAATCTAGGAGCAGACAGACACGAGGGAGAAAGAGGAGAGAAGAAGAAGAAGAAGAAGAAAGAGGAGGACCAGCCCCTGATCTCACGGCGATGGTGCCCCTTGTGTTCCTTCTGTGCTAATAAATCATCTTTGAGTGTGTCTCTAATGCTGCGCAAGCTGTAGCCGAGTGTCGAACATCATCTGACAGGAGCGGAGACACAGGCGGCATTCTTCGGCGCGGAGAAGGACAATGTGGGCTACAGCTGCGGCGAAGAGGCGGGAACGCGTGGAAGACGTGAAAGTCAAGGCGTGCAACGTCGGTTCCAGTCAAAGCCGGTTCGGGCTACTTGACTGCACAGAGCGCGGCACCACATAAACATCAGAGCTTTACCGCATTAAACCAAATATGAGCTGACACGCGGCGATACCTGACAGTTCGGCGTTACGTCTGAACTTCACGTCAAAACCTTGGAGTATAAAAAAATAACTTCTTGTCAGTCAGTCGAAAAGTCGAAAAAAAATGACTCCTTGTTGTCGGAAGAAAAGTCATAAAATTATTTTTTTTAACATCCCTGTAAGACATACGGTTTATATAGTAGCATAGTACTACACACAAACTCGCAGGCGACGTACGTTACAAAAAACAAACTTTTTTTTTTTAAGTAGTTCAAACTCCGATTATAAAAATACTCTGAATTAACAAAATGTTAGCAATTAGCTAACATTAGCAAACATTAGGCTAAATAGATCAATTAGGCTAGAGAGTAGCGAGATAGATCCTATGGTTAGGTTAGGTTAACTTACAGCTAGCTAGCTAGTATGTAGCACAAGGCTAAGACTTAACTCAAACCAAAAAAAAAAAAACAATTTCGCTGGCAATAGTAAATTAGCCCGTTTTTTAAAGTTATATAAAACTGAATACTCTACACATATATGTATTACTTTTTTAAAAATAATATATATTCACTGAAGGTTGGTAATTCATAATAGCATGTATTTTACAGAGAAAGTCTTGAGTTAGCTAGTTAGTGAGTTAGTTAGTTAGTTAGTGAGTTAGTGAGTGAGTGAGTGAGTTAGTTAGTTAGTGAGTGAGTGAGTGAGTGGGTGAGTGAGTTAGTTAGTGAGTGAGTTAGTTAGTGAGTTAGTTAGTTAGTGAGTGAGTGAGTGAGTGGGTGAGTGAGTTAGTTAGTGAGTGAGTTAGTTAGTGAGTTAGTTAGTTAGTGAGTGAGTGAGTGAGTGAGTTAGTTAGTTAGTGAGTTAGTTAACTGTTTTTTGTTTAACATATCAAATGGGACAGGTTAGTAAATAACACTGAAATCTTTTTTCAAAATTGTTGGTTTTCATTAAACCTTTGAAAAAACATTCTTCAAAATGTATCAAATCTTAAATAGAAAAGTTAGTAAAAGGGAAGGAAGGAAAGTGAACTATTTGTCTAGTAGTAAGATAGAAAAAAAGTCGAGAAAAAGCTAACAGTTAGCCACAAGGCTTCGAGGTAGTCAAACAATTTCAACGTCCCAAAACACATTTTACGACCAAAACCTTGTATCCTACGCAGATCTATGGTATTTCTGTGATTGTAGGTCGTGCATGTGCGTGTGTGTGTGTGTGCGTGTGTGTGTATACCAGTATATATACACCTGACAGCTGCAGCGGCCGCTCCTGCTGATGAAGCACAGAAACTCAGGAGACTCAGGAGGCCATCCATCATCTTCATCAGCCTTAAGTGAGGCTTCACTCTGGACCAGGGGTCCAGCGGACCAGGAGCTGGACCAGTGTGCTGACCACTCCGAGTCGTTTGGAATAAACACGAATCATCGTCCTTATCCTCCCTGTGTCACCTCCGGCTGCGGCAAAGACACGATCTGATGAAAATATTCTAAATGTGTCGTCACCGCAGTAACAACGTAAACACACTTATATTAAAATATTTTTAAAATCATAAACAGAAACCTTAGGGTGGTTTGTGGTTCACAGCATATTTACATGTTTTTTTTTAATATAAAAATGTGTATATATTTTACACAGATTTTCACACAATTTTTATATTTTATACTTATTTAATCATTTGGCAAAATGTGAAATTAATTACGACAATGTTTTTTAATTCAAAACGTAGCATTTTTTAAAAAAAGAAAACACTTATGTATATAATATAATTTTACAATATTACACTGGGTATCACAATTAAGTTTGATCAGTTTAATATTCTTGGCAATTAATATGAACATTTCTCACTTCATGTCAGTGAATGAGAAATTGAACAAAAATAGATCGATGTCTTTTCAAAATAAAACTGTTAAGTCTTTTAATTCAGTTAAAAACTACTCAACATTCAAAAAAAAAAAAAAAAACACAATTACTCCAACTCATTACAGTACTGCTGTGACCCATTCAAAACGGCCCACCTTTGGGCCACGACCTACTGTTTGAGAAACACCAGTTGCAACAGGAACTGCAATAAAATTCCATTAATAATCTAAACAATTATTATACTCCAAATAAATTAAATTAGTTTATTCAGAGATTTTTAATCCAAAAAGGCGCGTGATATTATTTTTATGTACATGATGTTTTTAGCACTGGCATAAAGATTATTTTTTTAAACATGTTTTTGAATATAAAAATGTTGCTTTTATGCTTTTATTGATTGTAATTATTTTTGACTCATTTATTAAAAGTCATGATTTATGTTTGATATTCAATTGTGTTATATATTTATGGTAATAAAAAAAAAAATTGTGTTATATATTTATGGTAATAAAATTTTTTTTAAAAATAAACACCATATGTTGCATCACATGATATTGTATTTGCAGGTTCTATGTTTAAAAGTTTGATTTCTGCAGAAGTTCAGGAGTCTGTGACTGTAACCGTCATACTGTTACACCTTCTTTTAAATGGTCAGATTTAATAAAGTATTAACAGGATCAAAGTGAACACGTGTTACGTCTGGGGACGTGATTTCACGAGACGCGTGTGTGCGAGTTTGTGTATATGCGTGTCACACGAGGTCGTGGATCTCTGCTGCCTCTTTCATTCGCAGGACGTAAACACCAGACAGGGACAGGGAGAATTAAAACTCGCAGGTCAAAGGTCAAAGGTCATATTGTGTCTGGAGAGGATTTACTTTTATGTCTGTTTGATCTCAAAAATGCCCTGCTCTCACGGACACACACATATTTGTTTCACTGTTATTGTCGGGACGTTTTTTTTTTTTTTTAAAAAAAACCATCTCAGTTTTTTTTTTCTCACGTGGTAAATAACTGACATGGACCTTGTTAATTGTTTTCATCTTTTTTTTTTTTTTGTAAATGCTTCTGACTAATTTATATTTCTGCATTATTATATTATGTTGTTAAGCAAAATCAGATGTTAGAGAGTGTGGTTGACATCTTTTTAAAAATGCGACATAGTCAGAGGAATAAAAGTGAAAAAAAAAAAAAAAACAAACATTTATTACCCCGAATAAGTTAGCACAATAAAGCTACATTTCAAAATAAAAAGTAAGTAAAAAAAAAAATACAGAAAATTAAGGCTAAGCTAAAAATAGTTTATAAATAAAATAAATAGCTTCATGTAGCTAAAAACAACCAAATTATTTTATTTTTATTATCTATTATATCTATTATTATTATATTATTATCTATTATCTGTTATTATAATAATTATTATTATATTATTATTATTATCTATTTTTATTATTTTTATTTATAACTAAACCTGAAAAAAAATCATTTGGATTGTTAATTTTAACCTAAAAATGGAAAACATATTTCAAATATAATATAAGTAAATGTCAACACAAAAACAAAAAGCTAAACCAAATATAGCCGCAAGCTAACAAAATGAACGCTCTAAACTAGATGTCACTCATCACTTGCGTCAAACTACTCACGTTAAACTACAACAAAGTAATCCGTAATATTAATGGAGGTTAGCATGGGTGTGTCGTGCCAGTCTTTGATAGAGTTTCCAGCTGACCCGGATCCCTTGTTGTTCTTCGCTCAACAGATGCTACATTTCAAAGGCTAACGTAGCATGCATGTTCCTGACCGGTGACGTAAAAGGACGTAAACTGAGGCGTTCATTTCGACAGACCTAAATGGACTGGCGGTAGAGTGGCAGCAAAGAAAACAATGTTTCCAGGAATATGATGCTTGTCCGTAAAAGTTGGAATACTGTATTTAAAGATTGACCAAAAAGGAAGTCTGGGTATTTTTTGACCCTTTGACCTGTAGAACATCCAGCATGATCAGAAAACACCAACTGGTGATGCTGGGAACTTGGTGACACCATGATGGAAACTCCAGGAAGCCATTGTGAGGGCGAGCTATTTACAGTGATTTTTAACAAATGAGTCCTGCTACTAATTGTTCCCGATCAAACATGATGGAAGCGCACGTCATGTGGAGAGGTAGCGGCAGTGTTTTGGCAATCACTCAGAATGCCTCAGGGGGGCGACAGAAGGTGGAGACGACAGCTGTAAATAAAACAATTTTCTCATTTCCAGGGCTGAGCTCTATTAGTTTATCCTAAGTGCTAAATGGAACAATATTCACAACGGCGTCTGCCGGTTGGTTGATGAGGAATGACTCCATCACTCTACCTGCAGCGGCGGTGCTGCTGCTGGTGTGAGTCATTATGAAGGTACAAAAACTGCATGTCTAATTTGAAGTGATGGATTATGCTATTATGCGGCGGCAGCTGCGGTTGAAATCTTTATGGGATATTTTCCAATTGTAAAAAAAAAAAATAATGACCTCGAGAACTCAACCTCCTGGACCCCATGATGCAGTTTAACCTATGGGGGTTTTAAGTTTAATCATTTGCAACAAGTAAACTGGAAAAAAACTATAAATATAATCATTCAATTAAACATATCATATTCTGTGTTACACTTTAGATATTGTCATAGTATTTACGACCAACAGTCATAAATGTTACGGAGGCATTATTGACGAATGTGTCGATAAGCAGCATAATGCTGTATGCCTTTAGGTGCTCTACCGCACGTGTCAAACTCAAGGCCCGGGGGCCCAAATGCGGCCCGCCAAGCCGTTTTGTGTGGCCCGCGGGAGCTTAAAAAGCATTTAGTAAAGTCCATGCAGCAGAGTTTCTCAACCTATGAAATCAAAAGTGTTTTTATTGCACAGCAATGAACAATATTTGTAGCGTGAAATAAATAATAATCAATTGCAGATACATGTATTAGTCTGTTATGGAGTAGTTCCAAGGACTGGTCAGCCAGTACCTCCTGTTACTACACAACAGTAGCAAGGTGCTGAGCATTGAAAGGATCATTCCATTTTCAAATTAAAAATATTGCCAGATTATCTTTAAATAAAGAAAGTAAAGGGATATAACTGGATTTTCTTTGAATGAAGAAATTAGTAAAAATGAAGTGAATTTTTTTCCACTGTGTCCCACCACTAAATGACCTATGGACTGGTACTGGTCCGCGGACCGGGGATTGGGGACCCCTGATCTATACAGTCTTCCAATTCCAACCGGCCCTTTAAGGGGAGCTGTATTGCTGATGTGGCCCCCTGGTGGTAATGAGTTTGACACCCCTGTTCTACCATCTTGTTATTTTGTTTAGGAGGCTTTATCTTGCCTACAGAAAAAACATCTTAGCGTCTCTGTATTTTGTGGGCCTTATCCTCAGGTAGGCTAGAGTGCCTACTGCTGAGTTGAACAGGAAGTACTTCAGACTCTTTAAGGCCTTTTCGTGTGACCTTGAGTGCCACTTAAGAGTGTTAAAATGTGCCAATTTTCAACAGTTTATCCCCAAGGTCATTCCATTCCAGGTAGAAAGTCAAAGCTCTCATCTTCTTCACACAGTGAAAAAAAAAAAAAAACAATTGATTTTTCCATAACTTGACTGAACATCTCGTAACTTGGTAAATGTAAAAATGTCCAAACAACCACAGTGAATGTTCAAACCCATGAACAGTTAGGATTTATTCCATATGTGTGAGAATTCATTCATCTTAGAAACATCTCCCAGGTACAAGAGTAGTAAGATTCCACAGTGACTTTTGTCCTTTTTTTTTTTTGTTTTGTTTCTTCACAGAAAAAAAAAAAGACACCTTATGATGTCACATTCAATAATTAGCAGTTTAAATATAATCTCAAAATTAAATACGACAAAATACAACAACTAAAACAACTATTGTAAATGTTTGCATCTCCCATTAGCCTTTTATATTAGTCATCGTTTGCTTTCCTTCTTGGTTTGCAGTGAATTATTCCTCCTTCATTTGTGCGACTGTAAGAGTTTCTCTTAAACAGGTTCTTCTTCTTCTTTTTTTTTTTTTTTGGTCACATTTTGTGTAGTGAGAACAAGAACGTTAGAGGGAAACTACGCGATTCTAGTGTCATGTCAATCTTTCGTTTTTCCAGAAAGTGAGTGTGGAACAAACCGGGCGAGTTAACGAGCGTTACTTATTTCTTCAGCGAGGCAAAAACGGAGGAATTTTTAATAGACTTAAACATTTTAAGAGCACTGTTGCAGCAAGTGACTCTGTTAGAGCAGAGTTTTACTGCTATCTGCTTCCTTAATTAAACTGCACGCCGCTTTTTCCTTTAGCTCGAGCTTCAAAACGAACCCATCTCACTTGATCGCTGAGAATGTCGCACGAAAAAAGAGCGCGTACTTTCAGATGTAATAAAATATCAGCACAACGATAAGAAACACTATTTTATGAGCCACGGAGCCCAGTGTTAGGAGGAAGGAATTTATATCAAGGGCTACTTTGTATCTGCCTTGAAAGACTTGCTTTACAGACTTTGATTTTTGCACCGTCACTTTTTTTTTTTTAAAGCAGCTGAAATAAAAATAAAAACAAAAACAAAAACGTAAAAATAAAAAAAAAATACTACAAATTTTTTTACAGCGCAAATGAAAATAGATAAAATGCTCCTGGTTCACGAAGGCCACCGCGGATTCTTGACGTGTTTAGGAACAGGAGGGACAAGTGGAGGAGACCTGCATTTGTTACAACTTAAGATTTGACCCAGTGCTTCACGCTGAACCTTCAAGAGTATACCTGACTTGGAAAACCTCAAAACGCACGAGCAAAGACAAAGACAAAGACAACGTAAATGGAAACAAACAAAAAGAAAAGAAAAATGTTTGTCTTCTGGCTGAATCTTGATACTTGGACATTCTGGCTTCTGCCACGGGACTTTGTATCAAAGTTGGCTAAGGTGTGGCTCCTTGTCAGTAGTTGAGCTTGTAAATGCTTATTAGCGAGTGTCATGTTCCATGTCACTTCCTTCAAGAAACGTAGGAGAGTCTTCAACTCCTACGGGGTGAACGAGAAACAGCTTCTTTCTCACAGGGACTTCCACTGACGGAGGAAAGTTCTCCTCTTCGTCCTGCAGCTTATTCTTCATCGTCGGTCGTCCCTGTTTGTGTCAGTGCAGCTTCAGACCTCGTCTTCATGACACCTTCTCCTTCTTGGCTCTAACAGACACTGGTATATAATTCAACTCTACAAACTATACAAATATTTGGTAGCACAGTCAGTCAGTAGAACGGGTGGTTATGTGTTGTTGGTTTTTTTTTTTCGTTTTGTTTTTGGTGTTCTTGAAGTAAGAATTACTGTTATAGTCTGTTAGATCCCATTTCCAGGAAACTGGCTACTTCCTGTATGCTAGTGCAGTGCAAGGGTTTTTAGTGGTGCAGCAGAACCAGACAGCAGCTACGCGGCCACGTGACCGATCAGGTATATGTTGTCATAGAGGTGGCCGACAAAGTCGTCCGAGACGTTGTGAGCCGCCCGGCGCGTGTTCCTGATGAACTCCCTCTTAGACATTTTGTTCTTGACGTGAGGGCTGGTCAGGTCGATGGACAGCAGGATCAAGCTGTAGCACAGCACGTAAACAGCATCTGCACAGACAGGAAATGCTGGTCAAACGACATGATGATATGACAACTCACAGAAGGTAAAAATACAGATATACGGTAACGTTGCTCTTAAATAACAATCTGGCGGTCGGACAACATACAGTATGCATTTCATTGGAGTTTTTCTCCCAAATACGCATGTCTATTTTCGACTAAATGGGATTACAATCCAATATATACACCAAAACAACATACAGATCACAGATCATTTATGTTCTTTTGAAAATGATCTGACTTGTGACTAGTGCAGTCATCACCAACTGGTGGCCTGCGGGCCAAATCCAGCCCACCAAACTGTCTAATCTGGGCTGCAACTGGATTCCAAAATAAGCATCAATCATCATCTTTTTCTTTTTTTTTTTTTTTTATTTGAGTGTCCGGACCCTAAAGTGTCTGTACAGAAAAATTCTGGCCCTTTCAAAAACAGTTGATGACCTGGGTTCTAGTGGGTGTGTGGGAAGTGGAACTCTTTGACCGACCCAACAGAAGACAGCTTGAAACAATCACTGACCAAAGATGACAGAATTGTTCATTTTTGCCTCTCCTGAAGACTCCCATATTTTCCTTCTTCATTACACCTAATAAAATATATTATTTTTAAACCACAAAGACAAATTCCAACTTGATGGTACTCTCATTTCCACACTTCCCAGTGAGGGTTACAACAAAGTTCTGACTTTCTCAGTCCTAGAATAAAAAAACGTCTGACTCAGGAGAGCAGTCTTCCATTCATCTGCTCGTCCATCTGCTGCCCTGGGCCTGGAACCATTACTCTAATCCTTCTAGTGCTACTAATCATCAGAGTAGGTTGTAGGATTTGCCAGTGACAGAGTCAGGGATTGGTTTGTGTTTGGGCTGCTGACAATGGCAAAGCCCCGCACTGATAAATGTACGGTCCACTGACAGCACTCAAGACAGGGATTAGTGGAAAGTGAAACTCTGATGGTTCTGCTTATTTTGCGGTTGGTTAAATGCTATAGTTCAGATGCGTAGATGATTTAAAATCACATCTCCTGTCACAGCAGCTAATGGTTATGTAGCTGCAGGTTTTGTGGACGAGTGACAGCTGTGGATCAGTCGGTACAGTGGGTCGTCTGTTTACAAGCCTCAGCTCTGATAATCTACAGTATACCTAATTATTTTCTTGCTTGTTCGTTAGTTTTTTTTTTGCTTTTTTTTTTTTTACATAGTCTTTAACATAACTAAGATTAAGAGTTCCACACCCACCACGATTTCTCATGCTAATGTGTTCTTTAATTTCATTGTGTCTTTAATGGAAATGTGATTTGTCTTAAATATAAGGGGAAAAAATGCTAAAATAAAAATAAATTAAAAAAAAATAAAAATAAAGAAAGCTGTACATCAGAAACGCGACATTTTAATAAAGTCAACATTTTGTAATGTTATTTACTCGCCAAGCTCAGTAGGAACAAACTATAAACTGTACTCTAGCACCACTTGCAGTTCAAAGAGCCACATTACATCCACCGTGAAACGTTCTATTCAAACGACTGCGCAGAGAACTTTTTATAAGCTACTTCAAAGACCAGTCATTCAATTTCTGTCTCAAATGCAAGTGTTGTATGTGTGTAAGAACTAACCAGGACTGAGGCCCAGATCTCTGACCAGACCTGGATTACAGGTACAGAACCGGTGGCTGAACTTGGTGATGAGGGTTTCCAGATACTCTCCTCTCTCCTCTGGCGCATGGATGTGTCTGAAGAAATCCCGCAGAGCGTTAGGAAGGAACTGGTTACTGAAGTTGTGGAGGGTCACTAACTCGTCCAGGACATCTCGCCTGTAAAACATGGTCTTCGGTAAATCTCCATTCTAGACATACAAGAGTTAACTTTGTGGACCACTAATTTTCTTTAGGCCTCAGTCACTGCCCTTTCTTTTTTAGACAATTAAATGAAAACTAAACTGGAAGTAATGTAACAATGTCAAAATTATTTATGCATTGTTAAAAAAAATAGGCGCACATTAACACAAATTAATGCTGATTTCATCCTGTAAACACAAGCTCTGAACAGTTTGTTAGCTTTGTAAATGGAGATCGAAACGTAACAAATGTGTATTGTTTGTTACAAACGTTACTTGTCTTGCTATTTCTTGAGAAGAGTTCATTTATTAGGACTGCTTTATTATTATTATTATTATATACCAATATATCTGCTTGTGTTTACATCAATGCACACTTTAGATTTTCAACTGAGTTATTTATTGTGTGTCTGCATTTAAAAACCTTTCGTCCAGGTAAATCCTCAGCATCTTCCAGTTGAGGCGTCTAGTGTAGAAGATGAACTTGGCCAGTTCAGTCGGATGATCAACCAGTATACCTTTAGACATGAAATAACCAATACCCTACACACAGAGACACATACACACACCAGTAGAAGTAAGTCAGTGACCATCGCACCATGTGTGTAGGTGCGTTTGTTTCTGTGTGTTTGTGTGTCTCCTTTACCTCCTGTGGGTTGGCATTAAATGTGAGGCTGCCTTCATCCAGCTGTAGATACAATCTTCTGTATGAGAAACCAGCAGGTAATCTTCTGTTGTAAAGTGAACAGTGCCCCCATGTGGACTTACACAGTCTGACCAAAAAGGCAGAAAGGTTTGTCAAAAAAAAAGGAACCAAAAATACAGCAACTGTCAGAAAAGAATCGATAAAGTCAGGGCTATTTTAATACAGTTTCATCACATTTTAAGTTACATGTCAAAAATGTTTGTCACAATTGCACAAAAGGTTGACCAGAAAAATCAGACAACAGTTTTTGACTGACTTGTCACGGTACTGAAATCTAAGGCTGTTCCGTGTCCATTGTGAAAAACACATCAACAAGAGAATTTACAAAATTTAAACAACAACAATTCAAAAATCACGTGGCATCAAACATGGTTTTTATGCATGTTAATCAAATATTAACTACACGGAAGATTACATAACACAGCTCTTGTCTCTTCTGAAAATAACCACAGGATACCAACAGACATATTGTGCAACTAAAACCATCATCTTACAACCTCAATCACCACTTACCCTTGCCACAGATACTCGTCGTTTCCCAGGTCCTGCCACACACAGCCAGCCAGGCACAGATCAGTGGCATTCAAGTACGACAGGATGGTGATGCCTAATTCAGGTGGGAGCCTCTCTAGATCTATAAAACCACGCTGGCCATTACCTGAAACCATAGAGAAAATGAAGTCATGTCCCAACAAACCAGCTTGGCGTAAATCATTATTAATCTAAACAGACAGCAAAACAGTGATTCAAAATTGTTCAGCACTTTACGTTTATGGCAAATTTACATCTTTTGAAATAATTTGACAGCTTTTTGAAACTCAAAGCCACTGATTTTACGTTTATGGCAAATTTACATCTTTTAAAATAATTTGACAGATTTTTGGAACTCAAAGCCACTGACGTTCAAACAAGTATAATTACTTGATTGGTTCTCTGTTTTACCGTGTTTGTTTGTGTGTGTGTGTAAGTACCTCCTCGGCGTGTTCTCAGCAGATGATAGATGTCTGGGCCATAACAGTGCTGAGGACCTCTCCTCTGGGGACCTTCATCTTAAAAGGCAAATAAAATAGAAATACAAAGAAAAAGAAATTATTAATTTAAAGTTATTAAAGTCTTTAACGTGAACAAAGATGTTTAATACAACCCCGAAACATGACAAGGTAAGTAAGATCAATACTGCACCATCTAGTATTTACACATGTGCTTACTCAAAGGCCTTTTAAGCACACAAGGAAAGGAGACAGTGATAGTATGTTGTCTTTGTGTATGCTAAAGCTAAACAGCCCGTTAGGACAGAGAGTAACAACACAAAATACAAAACATCTATTTCAGGAATTGAAGATTTACAGGATCCCAAGTGGAGAGGTTTTCTTTCACTGTTTTGCATACAGGCTCAAACCCCTTTGCATATGCAAGAGGTACATTATTTTAGAGATTTTTTCTTTCTTTCTCTGACACACATTGTACTGTGGCATTTCACAACATATCTGCTTGCATGTGACAGCCCTCATATAGATTATACTGAACATTACAGGTCAATGCAGGTCAAAAATACCCTGTTAATGCAAATCAGAGTTTCAAAAATATGCCATGGGATGTTTGTACTGGCTATAAATCAGCATATTCTACAGCCACTTTTCAGATTATCTAAATTATTTGTTGAATGTAACCTTTACCTTGGTCATGTCCTCCTATGACTCTGCCTCGCCTGTCAGCTAGTCGGTCGACCAGCTCTTCCTGAAGCTGCTGCTGTTGTCTGGGAGGCAGCCTCCACAACGCCTGACCCATCTTAATATAAATAGTACAATTCACACAGTATACTTAGGAACTGAAATGCAGTTTACAACAGCTGTCTGTCTATCTACTATATTTTACAGCTGATTGTAATGCTATTTTAGGAGAAAAAGTATTGAACCAACTGTGCAGTATGTGCAGAGTATGAGAGAAAAAGTATTGAACCAACTGTGCAGAGTAGGGTTTTAGCATGGTTGCATTTGCAAAGGTATGTTGACATATGTATAAAATTACACTGTGATGTACAGTATTTCTCTTAATTTAGTCAAACCTTTCCATATATCAATGTTACGCAGTTATTACTGCAGTCAGGTGCTACATTCAATTAGACTCATGTATACTTTTTACATATTCCTAAACATATTACAACTTACTAAAAGAGGGCGAAAACCTTTCAAAACAAATTTGCGATAACTAAGGTCCCTTGGTTCCCTAAGGGTAATCAGTTCCCAAAGAAAACTTTTGTGTATCAAGTAGTAGTTGTCCTGATATCAATGTATGCTAGTATTATTTTAGAGCGCATATAACGCATATAAGGTTTTATCTTTACAGGTTTGTGCAACATACTGACAATTATTTTAACTAAGTTATCAAACTAAAATTGAGAAATATTTATGTTAATATTTGATAAAACAACAACGGTATAGTTCTACACGCAAGTCGTGTTACAAAAACAAATCCCTTACACCGTCATAAACATTAGAGTTGGAACTTCCTGGAAGCAAGTTCGGTTGACCGGCAGTCCCGCCTTTTGTTGGACCCCATTGGCCAAACAGAAACTGACGGCAATGTCGACGAAATTGTATTGGTTAAATCAGCGTTCATTCGCTGTCTCTAGTCTCTAAGCACTGGGCAGCATTCTTAAGCTGTTTTGAGCGGACAAAGTCAGCAACAAAAATGACGTCTGAGAAGCATAGTATCGATTTATTTATTCTCGTAGAGGGTGTGTTAGCTTCTTACCTGAATAAAATAATTCTTATGAAGGGCCAGTCCTGTATGCAGCACAAGGACACCGGAGACGTGTTTCCCTGCTAACAGGCGTTCTTTGCTGTCATTTCATTTCGTCCAAAGTCAAAATAAAGACAGAAGAAACGATAGTTCAGGAAAGACCTGTCATGTCACAGCCTTTACTTTAGTGCTAACACGGTTATCATGTGGTTTCCTCCTCCTGGCACCTCAGCCCCGCCCTCCTCATTGTCGCACCATTTAAAAAAAATAAATACCATTTTTTTTGGAAAAATAAATGCAATGAGGTTATGACGCTACTTATGACGATAATTTCGACGACAAACTAAAAAGGATAAACACAGCGTTTAAATAATGCAGCGTGGTGAGCTTTTTAAAGAGGTTACGTGATGACGCAGACGTTTACATCATACTACTGACGACTTGTTCTGCGCAATGAAAACAAGAAACCAAAAATAATTAAATATTATTTTAGAACCATGAGATGATATTGAATGAGACCTTTCAGCAATACATATCCGACTCACTGTCATTATTTTCTGACTTTGAACACAAAGTGCTCAATTTGTCAAATTTCAAATACAAGGTAGTAAAATATCACAGAAAATACACCAGCTATAATCCATTTCAAAATACTGATATGTTTATTCATTTATTACCTTAATCAATTAAATTGAAATGCAAAGTATATGAGGAATGCTGTGAACAAAATATCTTGGAATTAGAGTTAAAACAATCAGCTAAAATATTTTAATAGTTTTTGTGTTTTGTTGTAGTGTTGAGCTTCACCACTAGATGTCACAAGTCCTGTAAAGGTTAACAATTGCTCAACAACGAGAAACCAATATCAGCTAAAATATTTTAATAGTTTTTTTTTGTTTTGTTGTAGTGGTGAGCTTCACCGCTAGATGGCACACGTCCTGTAAAGGTTAACAATTGCTTGACAACGAGAACCCAGTAAGTACTGTTTGCTCTGTGAAAAAAGTTGTAAATATGAACACAACCATTGTCTGCGGCTACTTTTGTAATCATTCAATATTGTACTACAGTTTTACAGTGACTTTGATTTCATCTGTAATAATCAAAATGTAAATTGAGTCACATCAGGAGCAGGAGAATCCTTCATAAAAATGTCATCACTGTTCCCTTCTTTCCAACCTGGTGAGGCTGCAGTGCGTGGAACTGAATTGCAATCCTATAAATTAGAGATTATATTAGGAATGAAAACAATGAAAATGACATGACAAAAAAAAAACAAAAACATTTTTGATTCTACTGCATCTGTTGTTTAAATTAATTAAAACATGGAAAACAGAAAAAATATAATAGATTATGAACACTAAATTATCAAAATAACATTTTACCTCTAAATCTAGCCCCATTGTGTTGTGTATTACAGATAAGTCTTACCGGTCTTCAGTTAGACCAAGTTCTTTAGTCAGAAAGTCAAACATCTTGATGCTGTGCTCCTTGTTTTTGTCAGCGGTGTCTGTCACTCCAATGGCAGATATGGACAGGATGACACAAGGAGAGGAAGAGCCAGCCATCAGCATCGGCAATCCTGGCATTATGATCACATTCATC